AAAAAAAAAAAAAAAAGCAAATTACGTTTTTAGCTAAAAATAATCAAAAAAAAAAAAAAAGCTATATGACTATGTAGTCGTTTAACAGCTCTCTGTATCCTTTACTTTCATCTTCTTTATACTGAACTTTTTTTTTTTTCAACTGTTGCTCCTCAAATGGATCAATTGACCATTCCAATTTTGCAAACAGTAAAGCTTGAAGAAGATCATCAGTTTAAATTAGACTAATATTGTAAAGTAAACAAGAATCAGTGAGGTGGTTTTTTTAAGCTGTCTATGAACTGCCATAAATATCTAAAAATAAGTTGCACAACACGTTGAAACTAGTCGTTAGACTAGTCGACCCCAATGTTCCTGTGGTATCCTTGTTTCTCATTTCTGTCATCATTTCTTTTATCAGCAACAACAGCAGCAGTATAAGTGAACGAAAAAAAAAAAATTGGCACTTAGCACCAAGTACACGACAATTGATCAGAACAATTTTAAATGCAAAAAAAAATCTAAAACGAGGTAAAAATTTTAAATTTTAGAAAAACTTATATAAATAAACTTTCAAAACAATAAATTAATGAGAATTAACATATTTTTTTGGATGCTTGCTTTTCCCTTTCTATGCTCATTGTCATCAGTACGCATATGTTTTTCTTCTTCTAAAAAATTGTCAAATTATTTAGTAACAAAGTGAAGCTAAGCTGTTTAGAAGAAAACTCTTTTGAGTATTCATTTTGCAACCAGTGGTGCGTTGATAATCGACGGGTATTGCCACCTGCCGCTGTCTTTTTGTCTCTGCCTTAACCGCTACTCCTCCACTCCCCCACCACCCCCTCTCTGTTTTTCGGATAATCCAACTCGCGCAGAACTCGATCCCCCCTTTATAACCATCAGCTTGTCAAAGCATGTCAAAGTAAAAGTCCCAGGAAAACAAAGTGAAAAAAAATGTAGGAAAAAGCAGAATGGCAATAAACCAAGAAAAACTTAACCAAAATTTCTATTTGATTGAAAAAAATCTGAACTCTTCTTTTTTTCTTCTACCTTTAACAAATAAAGTAAAAAAAAAAATGTGGCATCCAAAAGCAACAATAACGATAATAATGAAAAAGAAAATACTAAATTTGTTACACGTATGTCTGTCATCAAATCGTTCATTTACAATAATAGTATAAAACAGAAAAAAGTTGAATGTTAAGTAGTAACACAACAAAAATAGCTACAATAATGACTAAAAAAATCAAATAAAATTAGAATTAGACAAAAAAAAAAACACTTTTATTTTGTCTGCTTTTGTGTAGAAAATACATATAAGCCAGAAAAAAAAAAGTTCTTGATGATACGCGACATGTTATTAAGATGAATGGCACGGACTGATAGTGGCCATGCATTTTAAACTAAGACCCCTCTTGTGCTCCCACTTTCGTTGTCCTCTTCCGTTATATCGCAACATCCACAATATCCACTCAAGTCCTTCCTAACTCTTTCTATCCCACAACACCTCGTTCCACCTCATCTCATCTCGTCTCATCTCATCTCATCTTCTCCCATCCTGCCTCTTCCCACCCCATTTCATCCACTTCATTCCGTTCTATCTCGCCAGATCCAAATTTACCCCCGTCGTATTTCCTCTCCCTCATTTGTAGAAAAAAATAAAAATAAAACTTTTACTTTATTGTAATGAAAAGTTGTTTTATACAAACTCCTGCAATAATCTCATTAACATCAATACTGTGTTCATCACAAAACGAACTGTTTTAAACAAACTTTTATGTTTGCCTACCAAAAAAGAACAAAAAAAAAAA